AGCGAGAGGCGATACAGGCGTGTGAGAACAGAAGACAACTCAGGTAGGACTACCGCTGGAATTCCACCAAGCCCGCTAGCTTTATTCACGTCAAGATTCCGCAGAGTTCTAAGTATCTCTTTTTGGCGTATGCGAACTGGCTACTAAGGCAGTAGCGAACTCTGGAAGCCGCAGGGAACGTACATAACTGGATGGCAGTTGAACGAGGCACTGCGTCGTGTTCAACCAAGCAGCAAGCTCACACTGCCACACGAGGGTACAATCGGTTTGGAGACCGCGGAGACGCCTGAACCTCCCAGGAGATGGCCACCTGGTTCTCCCCTCCGGTCGCCAACCAGCAAGGTGCAGCATTCCGGGATTTTTCGATGGGTGGTGGGGGCAACCTTTCACGGGTGACTTTCCCGATACTTGGGCCCCAACTTCCCCCGGTCGGCCAGCGGTGCACCGTGTTTCGGATCCCGCTAGCCTCCAGAACCGACTGCTCAGTGTGGCAGTACAAGCAGCTACAACTCTGCACACAATGCTGTTGTTCAGACTCGACCTCCTGATGGCAAGTCCCGAACACGAGTCTGAACACGGTGACAACCATTTGGCGACTCGACTACGTCCGGGAGGGTGGTGACTAGCCACGGCCGAAGCGTACCACCAGTGATTGTTGTTCTTTAGCACCACCCAGGGGTCACTTGTTCACTTGTAGGGTGTTGAGGGTAAACCTACAGAAGCGAGCAATATCAACACACACCTAGCAAAAAAGAAAAGAATTGGTGGCACTTGTCAGAAAATAAATAAACAATACATCACAGAAGTTTTAGTTTATTCGTGGGGTCGTCTTGTTGAATCAATCCTTTGTTTTTTTTTAATATAATATAATATAATATAATAATAATAATAATATAATAACGCACACACTCAACATAGCCCCGCACTAGGGAAACCCTGTGTCGCGGGTGCCATGGACACATACATAGACAAACACAAATTACACCCAAACTCACGAGAGAAATAAATGTAGGCCATACAAATATTTCTCCCGGCCCGGGAATCGAACCTAGGACCTCTGCGTGGCAGTCCGGCATGGTAACCGTTCGGCCACGGATGCAGTTGAATCTCCTACTCCTAAAACACAGGTCTTTTGATTCAGGTAAAGCCAAGCTGAGCGTGTGTTTTCCGTGGACTCTAAAGCTGAGCGAGTAGAACAACAAACAATTTGTATATTTTTTCTAAACGTATATGTTTGGATTTTTATTTAGAGTTAACAAACTGATTGCTTCACTTTGAAACTTAAATTACCCGTGTTTATTGTATTGTAATGTGTTTGGTTCAGTTCACAATGAGCTCACTGAATCTTATATTTTACTCTTTTACATATTCTTTACTATTACTCTGCTAAACAATATTCGATTTATAATAATCTATAATCGATTTATATTAATTTATATAATCTAGTAAAAGTAGATCTCCGTGTGAAAGAGTTCATCCAGGGATGTAAGTACTGCCGCCACTTTATCTATTTCTGTCGCCAAGCAGTAATGTAAGCATTACTGCGATCTGGTTTTGAAGGGTAAGGGTGTCTGGTGAAATTACAGGCACATGGAACTTGTAAACTTATGTCTTAAGTGACGGGTGCGGTGGCAGTGCCTTACAGATCTTTGCGATTAAAAGCTCTGAGTGGCACTGTAACTGCTTGGGCAGGCTTGTCGCTTACCACCAGGTGCATTGCTCTTTCGTCCCGTCAATTGGTATTATTTTGAAAAAACACTATCTACTTGTATAATTTTTTTGTTATCGAAATTTTTTGAATTAATTATTACAAATAAATAGTTTACCTTGACGGTCTACTGAGTGACTCAATGAAGGCGTTACTTTAAGACAACACTATTCATAATTCATCAAAAATGAGCAACCCTACTACTAACATCAGATTATCTGTTTACAATACAAAGTGACGGGACTAAAAAGTCGTGCGCCTGGTGGAGCGCGACACGCCTATCCATAATTGTTGTCGTGTCACTCAGAGCTTTAAATCGAAGACATCTCATTGTTTTTAATAACATGTGTAATAAAAATATTTAAAAACTACGCATTTTTATTTAATAAACCAGATGCTATATAAATGACACAAAAAAACAAATTTTTTCTTCATCCTATAAAGTTGTCAAAATAGAGATAGTACCGGTTACCAGGTTCACAGTCGAAATTCGGAATGCAAAAACAATTGCAAGGTTTATTCGAAAACTGAATATAATAAACATTTTAAAAATGAGATCCAACACTATGCAGTAACTTTAAACCAACGGTTATTTAAAAAAAACAATCTTGTATGATTTTTAATGGCATCAAGTGACGGGTTGAACAAGTCATTCGCCTGTAAGCGCCTATTCGTAACAATTGCAATGTTACTCGTAGTTTTAAATCGCAAAGATCTTAGGGGCACTGCCACTGCGTCCGTCACCCTAAGCCATAAGTTGACAAGTCCCATGTGCCTGTAATTTCACCAGCACCCTTACCCTTCAAAACTGGAACGCAGTAATGCTCACATTACAGCTAGGAGGCAGAAATAGGTAAGGTGGCAGTACTTCCACAGACGAACTCTCACAAGAAGCTTTTCTGCTACTGCTTTCTCTCATCTCTAATTAAAAAATAGATTTAGTTTACGGACAAGGAATCGCATTTAGCCGGGTTCGATCCCCGGCCGGGTAGAAAACTTTCAGCAGAGAGATTTGCTTCTGATTTCCATAACACAAGTGCTTTAGCTACTTATTTTGGAATCAGAGCAACGTAAGTGATGTTACTAATAATAATAATAACGCATACACTCATAGCCACGCACTAGGGAAACCCTGTATCGCGGGTGCCATGGACACACATATAGACAACCACAAGTTACTCCCAAACTCACAAGAGAAGTAAACGTAGGCCATACAAATATTTCTCCCGGCTCGGGAATCGAATTCGGGACCCCTGCGTGGCAGACCAGCATGGCAACCGTTCTGCCACGGAGGCAGTTTTGTCGTTTGTTGTCGTCTAATATTTATTTCGGAATTTTAGTTACGTTATAATGTCCTAGCCGCCGAAGACGTCATTATTATGATGCAAGTAAAAAAAATAGCCAGATACACCATGTCTTTGTTTTATAGGTAGAATAAACTAGATTGTTCGATTTCAGTCTCAATTTCTAAACTTTCTGCCACACGGTGACCAACGACTAGTGACCCACATGTGTTAAAAGCACCGGTAGTGATAAGGGCAAGTACCGGGATAAGGCTCATGAAATCGCTTGGCGATAATTATTGCCTGCTATTGGTGTCACATACATTGATTTTTAATGCATTATTGGTTACCATGTCAGCCGTACTCAATTACCATGTAGTGTGTAGGACCACCCCGTTGTTCCGTAGATACATGAACAGCAGAGTATCATAAATTGCCGCTTGCCGATGTAACTGCATCACATTTTAGTAGCAGTAGGAAAAAATTAGCTCTGGGAAGTGCTGCCACCTGACCTACTTCTGCCGCCAAGCCGTAATGTGAGCGTTACTGCGTTCTGGTTTTAAAATGTAAAGATGCTGTTGAAATTACAGACACACGGTTCTTGTCAACTTATGTCTCAAGGTGACAAGTGCGATGGCACTGCCCTCAGAGCGCGGCACAGCAACTGTTATGGACACACTTATATTAAGATTTGTTCGTCCCGTCTCTTGGTATCATAAAAAAAAAATCTCCTATTCTAAATATGACACATATTCAGCAGTGGGCTATGATGGGATGATGTAGCAATAATGTAATTATTGAAACTCAGAGACTACACTAACTCAATTACCAAGCGCCTGAAATAAATTACGAGCAAAAACTTGAATTGTCCAAGAACATTATGTGTATTTATCGTTACAGGCGTTTTTCTTAATATGCTAGTCAATTTACCGTTTCAAAACAAATACCACTTTATTTGGTGCCAAACTTAAACTCATAAGCATCAATAAAGTACCTTTATGGTCCTACATATAGATAAATTGTACGAAATCAGTCGGTCATTTGTATGTATATTATGTATCTACTAAAATTAATTTTGCATTCCACGTACTCAAAAAAGCGTTAATGGCATCTTGCGGAGAGAATCTAAAATAGGTTTTGATTCGATAAGGAATACTGACATGTTAGAAAAAACAAATTAATTTATTTTTAGTAAACGAGTAAGCAGCCGAAACAAGAATAATTCTGAATTCGAATTTAACTGTCTTTCCATCAATTTAGTGATGTTCATACTTTAGGTTCTTAGCCCGAATTTAGAAAATAGATTCTTTTGCATTGTATTTACAAGAAATTGATTTTGTTAATTAATATTATCGCCAATTAACGATATTGTATTTTACTTCGCGTTTTAGATGTAAAAAATATATAATTATTCACTATTATTGCATGTCATAAAATGTCGAGAATAGGGGATACTGACCGTAACAATGCTGAAATAACGTTTTTCTTTTATAACAAATGAAAGTTTAATAATAAAATGAATGATATGTTTATAGTGACATGTTTATACAATTTCTTAGTCAATATGGCTTATCTTGTGAAGATATGCACTGAGTAAATAGATGCAGTACAGCAACGAGATATAACTGTTATTTATAGTATTTGGAAAGCTGGCCAAGCGGGTGGAGAACACAATAAACAACAAAGAAATAATAATAAACATAAAATAAGCTATCAATAAGGGTCAGTTGCAGCGTGTGGCCACCACCACTGGCCGAACCTTATCGTCGTTACACCTCAACACAGCAAATTCTCAAACGGGAATACCGGATACCAACACCAGTTACACAAAAACATATCCATCTCAGTCTTTCCTACATATTTATTCAGAGTCTTGAGTTGATAAAAGTAGTCTATCCCTCTCGCACAACTGCTATGAAGCGCTATCGTTTGCTCCGTAGTTGTATGTGTAGCGTACGCATCAGTGGTGGTAAAACTATTCACTTTTGTGTTTTAGTAGTTTTGCCAAGTTGGAGTCGGGCCGAATTAGACTCGCTACATGTGTTTTGTGCAAGCAATGTCAAAAGTATCGTGAACTCTGACGATTTTTGCGTTCACCCGATTGCTGAGCGTGCACTTATTTATTTACATCCAAGCGAAAAATGGGCCGGTCGCTGGCTGAGCGTGGTGGCGCGCGAATGCTGCATTTTTTAGATTCCAATACACTTGGAAAGTTGTAATCGCGCTGCAATAGGAGTGTGTTTAGTGTTTATTTTTATACAACGCTGTGATTTATTTTTAACAGTGAAATTGTGTGAATGTGAAAATGCATAGATCGTCTCTTTGTCTTACGGATGTGAGTATACAAATTACATCACTATTTATTTTTCATGCCTAATATATATAAATGGTTCTAGAAAAACACATACAAAACAATGTAATTCAACTTCTTTTGGCTTGAAAACTATCTACCTAGGCATTGAAATAGCAATAATGTGATCATATTTCCTCGTAATAAATATCAATCACCTTTTTTTCTCGGAAATTGAGCGCACTTATGTGAAATTATTTCGTAACTAAAGCACTAAACTTGTTTCTAACTTAGATTTAAATAAATAATGTTTTCTAACTCTCGTCTCAAAAGATTTCATATATATCGCTCAATAAATATTTACGCAAATATATAACACGTTATCGGTTTATGTAAAGCGTAGGTTATAAACAACGATTTCTTTATTGCAAAGAATTGGCACACAACCAGCTTTTCCTTGTCTGATAGTAATTTATTGATGATAAATCCAGAACATTTTAAATTTAAATATTTCAGCACATTAGAATTACTATTTGGGTTTATAATCTTTGTCTACAAATCTGTTCCATGGACGAGGTAATTTTACAAAATAGCTATGATGAGGAATTCAGCAATTGAAGAAAATCATTGGGGAAACTAATTGATGACGTCTTTACAAATTAGGAAAACTGTTCCTATTAAAACTTATTTATATTAATTTTATACATGTTTTCATAGCCTTCAATAAAGGAAATGAAAATTTCCTATTTAAGGGTGGAACATTTTGTCGTGTGGATGGTACCCTTTTTTGCTAAGCACCGTTTTATTAAAAATGACCTGATGAAAAGTGACGATGACTTCCACGATGGAGCATATCATGTCCTAATGATCTAAATAATGTCTATTCACTCTCGCCTTGAAAAGGCCCTAATTATACCGTTCAAGGAACGTCATGTGGATCCTTTAGAGCTCCGGTGACCAGATAGCTGTCAGCTTTCTGGTTACCGGACACTCCAACAAAGTAAACGAAAGCTAAGAGCTTCGCTTCTAAACTCCAGGGACCTAGAATTTCCCCTAGTTGAGAATGGCGTAATCTAGTCTCGTTATTTACCGAACATCATGATGTTCTAGTTTTATGATATTCGTATATTTCTTGTAAAAATACTCTCGGCGTCGGACTGGGTCTGGAGCCAATTGGTTAAGAGTGGTAGCCCCGGCATGGAAACAGATACTAGTTCCGGCCCAGTCAGATCAAAGGAATTTTCTTTGTGTTGTTCGATCTTCGTTACAATGATAAAATAGTATTAGAATCTATTTTTTATAACAATAACGATAATTTATATATAATAACCACAACATATATGTCATATTTCTTAGTAACAATTGAAATACATTATGTATCATCAGTCCTTTCTCCCACTGGAGTAGGCAAAGACCCTCACTGCTTTCCCGACAAACTTCTTTTGCATCAGTCTTCTCTTGTAACTAATTTTCTTCGGTTTTTTAACGGTCTTTTTAGGAACATCCCCAAATCTGATCGAGATACGTCGTGATACAATACAATTAAGAATGTGATATAATCAGATATAATAAAACAAAATTATTAACATTATTTTTTTATTCATCATATTTTTTAGGCGTAATTTTTTTAGGCGTTATATTTGTTACATTTTTTGTCGTTGCAAGTTCTATGCCTGCCAGTACATTATAAATATCAAATGATGATCATAACAACATCGATTGTTCACTTTTCTATTATAATTTGTGATAATTCACACAATATTCAGATACTTGGCTTTGCATAGAATTTTGTGACGTATTGGAATATTTACTATATTGGAATGGTAACATTTGCCCAGCCAGTATTCAATATTGAGTAAATTCTTCCATCGTTGTAAACAGGAACATCTTGATTGTAGCTAATGCGGTACTTCCTCTTGTACGAGATCTTAAGAGTGAACTGTTTCTCCGGTGATATTAGTTTCAATTTAACTTGAAGAAAAAAAAGGTACTTTCAGGGTCCAAAATAATCGTCATCATCACTTATAGTCCTCCCTTTGACCCTTTGAGATTAGTTCCTAACTTGTGCTTGATTCTCTTATTATGACTCGTCATATTGGATTTTGTTTTAAATGCCCGATCTCAAATAGAGCAAAAAGTTGCATAGTTGAAAGTATAGGTGTAGGAGCTCTCTTCAGGTCTCTCTTTACGTATTTCACGGTTTAACCGATTTCAAAAAAGGAGGGGTTATCAATTCGACTGTATTTTTTTGAAATTTTGATTTTATTTATGATTCGATTTTGATTTTTTTTTTGTTGGAAAGTATTTTGGTCCCATTTGAATTTGAAGTAAATGTTCCACCTCTAAGGGTATCAAAGTAGGGGATGAAATCGGTTTCGCGCACTTTCCGGTAACCGATTTCAATAAAACTTGGCAAATAGATGTAATTCCACAAACTTTTGAGGTCTTTTTTTTAATAAAAGTGTTTTAATTATTAGTTTAATGTTACGAATCGCTTTTGTGCGAATGTTTCTACATTTTTATACATAATAGATTGCCAAGTCGTCCAGTCCCAGGTCGTCAGTCCCACAAAGCCTAAAAACTAAGCCATTTAACCAGTGCGTTCTACCAGTTGTAGTCTTACGCAGCCGAGACGTGGACATTACAACAGGCCTCATCCACAAATTCAAGGTCGCTCAGCGTGCGAGCTATACTTGGGGTTTCCCTGATGGACCGAATCTCTAACGAGGTCATACGTCAGAGAACTAAAGTGATAGACATAGTTCGCAAAATCAGTAAGCTTAAGTGGCATAGGGCCGAGCATGTCTGCAGGAGTGTTGATTGAAACGTAGCGTGAGACACCCAGCGGCAAGATGGACGGACGATCTGAGCAAGGTGGCCGGTAGTGGCGGCAGAGTTGGCTGCTAAACAAATTTAGGTAAACGGTTATCCTCAGGAAGGTTCAGGCTATAGTCCGTTATGCTAGCCCGTAGTTTCCCAAAGTGGTCCTTACCAGTCCCTAGTGGGTGCTGAAAAGTAAGGCTTTTTTTTTTAATCGGATGGCGTCGATGCTGTCAAGGGCATGCTACCGCATTTGAAAAACAAAAAGTTTAAGTATATAAACTACACTAGGTATCATTACTACGACAAAAATGTCGTTAAAAAATCAAGAACAAAGATCTGCAACAAGCTAATAGAATTATTTTGTTCCGTGGCTTAGTTGACTTAAGCGTCTGCCACGGTTTGCTAGAAGACGTTAGTTTGAATTCTGCTGGATAGAAGAAATTTTGTAGTGTTCGATCTTTGTTTTAATAATTATAACAAACTAGTAGATTTCACACTGCTATTACAATAGTGTTGTAATCAAAATATGTGAAATTTATTATTATATCATTACTGAACGTAAAATTTGATTCTCTACGTGTCAAAAAAATCGTCGTTAGAATATTGTAAGAAATAATCAAAAGATATTTATTTAACTCAAAATGAGACACACTTTATGTCAGCTAGTTCTGGCCAAAATAATCCTTATTCAAAAATATTAAATTTTTTTCTCCATTTTATTTTTAAATATATTTGAGAAATTGTTTAAGTGTCTATAATAAACTATAACATACATGAGTTTCAATTATTTTTTGCGGGAAGTGAGTAATTCGTTTTTCATCGATTCTGAGAAAGTCCACATTTTGAGTTAATAAACTATTGTATTAGCAGTGCGACATATGTATATATTTTTCCTTCGGATTTTTTGGGTTAAGTTAATAAAAAAGTACGTGTTTTAAAATTATTTTTTTTGTTGTGGTGGGCGTTGAAATTGCTTTATCTTGCCTAAGTGGGCGGTGATCCAAACAGTTTGGGGACCTATGGTTTAGGCCAGTGTGGGTTGGGGATTCACACGCATTCCAGAGGTGGTGAACCTTCTTCGACGTGCAGATTTCATCACAATGTTTTCTCTCAGAGGTGACTTTAAATTTGTAATTAAATTTGTATGTAATGTACATTTATGAATATTTAGTGGCAATTTCTCTCGATAATAGTGAAGAAAACATTGTGATTAAACCTGCATCCAAGTCGGTTCACAGCCGTTCCAAAAGGAAGTGAAGTACCTAACCCACATTGACCCGTGCCCAGCAGTGCAACGTATAATTGGCTGATGATGATGATGAAAGCGCTGTGGACTTTACACGTCCCCAACTCGCAATAACTCAACATGGCGGACTATAGTCCATTTGTTTACGTACTTAACTAAATGTAAACAATCTTGAGATGTTTCATTTACCGTCAAATACAAAATACAAGTACTTAGATTGATATGAAATTGCATGCCTATTTTTGTACCTATTGATTTGTAAAGCATATGTTTCAATAAAAAGATGTATCAAGATTGTTTACATTTAGTTAAGTACCTACCTAAACAAATGGACTATAGATCCTAAATACTCTCCATAGAGGGTAGCCTTTTTTATACGTGGGGAAATCCACATACCTTTCTGTTTCGGGGGTAACAGAGAGATTATATCGGACTCCTATCGACTAAAACCCCACCGTAGTAAGTTTAAATGTGCAAGCGCAAGCGTCTTTTATGACGCTTTCTCTTGTTACTGCATAGAGTTATCACCGTATAGAGTGATCTATTTGAATATTTTATTTTATTTTCAAATCAAATCAAATCAAATCAAATCATTTATTTGCATGTCACAGTTACAGTACATTTTTAAATACAATTTAAGGTGTTATGTCATTGTATAGGATTATGTGACGCCCTGTAAGGGCATGGCAAATTACAGAGGGGCATTTATAAATTATACTAACAAATTTTTATCAACAATGTCAATGCATGCATTAAATTCGTTATGACGTTAATACGTACTTAAGCTATCATTCATTTAATATTAAAAAAAAGAAAAATAATAAAAATTAACATTCATAAAGATATCAACATTATCATATTTATGGAATGAAAAGTATTTACAAAATAAAAATAGGTAATAGTCTTAATATTATAAAATAAATGTCAAAGGCAATTTTATTATATTTTATTATAGTTCTGCGAGGTTGTTAGCTAT